TATAAAATTCGTTACACAAAGTTGATCTACAATCTATTTTATATGAAATTGGAAATTTGTACACCCTACCCTTAAACTAATATTTTTCAAATTAAATATATACGTAGCATATTCATCATAATGAATTGACATTAGTGGCGTAACCTGTCACAGATAGTGCTCGGCATAATCAAGCAAAAGCTTGATACTCAAATACTTGATCAAGTCGGATATTAAATAATAATAGATTAAAACCAGTTATATATATATATGATTTAATTTATGATCGTTTGAATATCCGACTTGATCAAGCAGTTATGCTATAATCTAATCTACAAGCCATTCAGATTATATTCCTATATTCAGGATATTCAGGTTATTAATTTTATACTTATTATTCAGGATCTAAAAAAGTTCCTACGAAATTTTATAAAAACATTTTTGAATCCCGAAGTTAAAGTATAAAATTAATAGCCTGAATACGTACAGAAATATAGTCTAGTGGCTCGTAAATCATGTCAATGCTAATTTTTTGTGACATAACTAATTGAGCCAAGCAGTAGTCACAAGTGTTGGCCTATGACCTGTTATGACCTATTGGCTAATTTTATGTTATGACCTTATGACTTGTTATGACTTATAAAATTTACTATTATATTATGACCACCTTTGTCATATAAAGCTGAATATGACCTAAAATGGCCAACACTGACTAGTCACAGATTACAGACGTGCACGAACGTGTGGGTAAATAAATATACGCGCGAAACCACCATAGGCGCATTTTATAGTAAGAATATAAAAAATTAATGCTAGTCTTCTTTTAGTTTCTAATTTTAAATTACTTGGGCTAATAGTTTTTGCATTTTACTAATACATATCATGAAACCTTTTAATCTACCATTTAATCTACCTACATAGTAATAATTTGAACATATACGGCATAATACATTTTTATTATACTCTAGATGCGAGAATCGTACGTATTATGATCGTTACAGTAAGTGTAATTTTTTGGTTAGTCACATGATTATAGATTTAAGAATTTCCATTGGTTAATTATATTTAAGAAAATATATTTGTGTGGCATTATTTTATTGAACAACCTTTTTTTGGTTAGCATTGCTCGCTTAATAAGCAATGGTAAACCCAGTTGACAATTTTGTTACGGCAGCTGGTTCAAATGCTAAGCAGAGTGTTGCAGATTTGGCCATGCAAATTAATTTTAGCAACGGTTTTGTCGTTATCGTTGTACATTAGCATCTGAAAAAAGTATCATGCAAAAATGCGTGCATGCATGCAGATTTTGGCCAAAATTACAGCATGATTTCTTAATGCTGGTCAAACTTTGTTATTAGTCCCATTTAAACCTTAACTACATTAGGTTTGCAAACTACACTAAATCACAAACGTCATCTTACGTACGACTATACCCTCCAAATTTCGTAGATACCCAATTTTTTATTTCGCGCTTCATACTTCACAAACTAAAATAGGTTAAAAGTCGAATTTATTAGTAAGGCTACCGGTTACTATAAATCTATATAAATTATCAGTTATTTATTTAAAATTATGTAATAATAACGATAAACAAACAAAATTTAATTATGGAATATAATAAGAAAAATGAGATTCTGCGCCAATAGGAATCGATCATGTGCGTACATGCAACAATACAACGCATGCAACGATACAACGCAGGGAATGCTTTTGGTTTCATAGAAATGTTATTTCTTTTTGTCCCGCTCTAATACGTAGCTTAAAATGAGTTCTCATATCGATCCACCGCGAGGTGTATTTACCTTACCAACTCCTTGTGAATATTCTAATCCCTTCTGGGAAGTCATCAAAATTTCTAATTCTAAACACTTTATACTTCAAAGAACAATAGCTTCAAGTAATAATAATAATACATTACTCAGAGGTGTTTTTAGTACTATACATAATGTGTATGCGATCAAATCTTGCTTTTAAACGAAACTTTCATAAATTTTACCTGGTTTTTTTTTATTAATGCTTCTAATGTTTATTTTAATGATTTTAATGTAGGCTCGACACAAATGCATCTACTTTTCGCATACTCTTTCAGCCAGAAGTAAATGGGAATTCAATGCAAGTTGCCGTGTCTAAATCTCAAAAAGTGATCGAAGACGCATGGAAATGGATTGAAGGTAATTTTGATTCAACAAAAAATTGTAATTTCATTCTTAGTCATTTCATTGGTATTTTATTCCCATTTTTTATAATTTCAGATAATTTAGATAAAGGATTACTAAAACTTGACAATGCTGCGGAAAAGATGGAGTTTGTTGTAACGAAAATAAATTCTTTGGTCACTCGTCAAGGTAAAATTTATGCGTATATATGACCTAGTGACCATTATTACTGTTTGATGTGATTTTATAAAATAATATTGATTATTAGTAATTACTGATCACTAGCTATTTATAAAAAAAAACTGATTTTCAAAATTTTATTTCACTGATCCTTGTTATGATTTAGATAAAGGAACTGACGAAGTTTCTGAGGATCAAGAAATTCGAAACGCATCAAGAACTTTTCGACAAGTCTTTAGTCTATCATCAACTGAGAGACTAGTTAACTGTAAGATAAACTATGTATTTGGTTTCTGGTAATAAAATAAATCTATTCTTTTGTTCTAATAATGATCTCGAATCAAGTCTATTCATGCGCGTACCGTGGCATTCAACAAGGGTGGATGTATATAAGCGAAAATTATTTGGGTTTCCATTCCGTTATACTTGGTATCGAAACCAAATTGTTTATAGAGTTAAAAGATGTACAAAACCTATTAAAAGAAAAATCAAAGCGTGGAATAGTATCCGATTCTATCAAAATTATTACAAAGGATGGTAATGAGGTTTGTGTTTTACAACAATCAAAATGTCATAGAAAGTTAAATGCATGGTTCATGGAGTTGAGTCCTAAATCTAAGAAGTTAATTCTCTTGTAGCATTTTTTTTCAAATCTTTTTCATCGTGATGAAGTAAGTTGATGATTCAATCATTTCCACTTAGTTTATGGTGAATAATGTGCTAAATATAAACTGCTATTGTCAGACTTACGACCTATTAGTACAGTTGACAAATTTATCAATGGAACGAATATTGAAAAATGCCACACTTGAGCCTGCTCCAGGATTTATATATGATGTTGAAAGCATTAATGAAAGTTTAAGACCAAGTACCCCCATGTTACCAGAACCCCCTGTATCACCAATGATTCCCCCTCTAAGGAAAAATCTCGAAGATCAAAAACGTGACAAAGAATTCCAAATATCATTTAATCTGCCCATAACTGAACATTTAATGCAAGAATGTACTTGTGAATTTGTGATGCCCGAAACGAAAGAGATCTATGTTGGTAAACTTCAGATTTCTGAAGGTTATCTAACATTTGAATCTAATGAAAAAAAACAATGTAGTCTAGTTTTACCTTTATATACTGTACAAAGAGTTGAACGTCTTTTTAGCAAAACACATGCTTTTGCTTTATCTATAGGGAATTGGCACAAAATGAAATTATTATTTCAAATCAATATTCCAAAAACCTCAATTGACAAGTTTTGTATGGTTCTTAGAGATAATTTAAAAGATCAAGTTCATCTTATGAAGTCTTTAAAGTCATTTTTAAGTACTTGTTATTCAGAAACTTTAACAGATTCTAAAAAGGAACCAAAGGAGCTTTCTTTAGGAGGATTGGGTTTGACTTTTGGTTTTCCGGGAGATGCTAAAAAGTTAGTTCTCTTATTTATAATGAATAGTTATGTGTATAAAGTTTATAATATAACACTATTTTTCATTTTATAGACAAAGGGACCGGTATAAAACGAAACTTTGGACCGAATATATGAACTGTACGTTTATGCATACATATCTCTTTTTCAACGGTTTTATACAAAATAAAATGAATAAATAAATAAATTCTGATATTCTGATTGACGGTTAATTTTTTTTTTTTTTTTTTTGAATCAGCCAATGGTCGAAATTTAACTCTCATTAAACTTCCTGATTTTCAAAAACTGGTTCGTGCCGGGCTACCAAACAGGCTACGCGGAGAAATGTGGGAATTGTGCTCTGGTGCAATGTATCTGAGATTCATAAACGATGGTTTATATAATAAACTTCATAAAGAGTATTCAGGTAAATCTTCTCTCTCTACAGAAGAAATTGAAAAAGATTTGAACAGGTAGATTATGAATTTTTTTGTGGATTTTTTTTTATTTCTAAATTCTAAATTTTACCTTTATTTTATCAGATCACTCCCTGAATATCCTGCATATCAGACACCTGAAGGTATCAATAGGTTAAGACGTGTATTGACTGCATATTCTTGGAAGGATCCCGAATTAGGGTATTGTCAGGCAATGAATATTGTCGTATCAGCTCTATTAATGTAAGTATAATGAGTGTGTCGTTTATTACGTAATTTCTTTTTATTAGAAAACAAATCCCTCTCCTCCACCGGTTATAAAATTAGCAACCAATCAAAAATATTTATGCATAATATATAGACTTGATAGACTGATAATCTCTCCTAAGATAATTACGTAATAAACAGCACTCCTCTAACTTACTCATATCTGCCCTTACTTTTCTAAACAAGCTTTCTCATTTTAGATATATGAATGAAGAACAGGCATTTTGGATTCTTAGTGTATTATGTGATAGAATGCTACCTGGATATTACAGGTTAGAAAAATTATTTGTAATTAATTATATTTCAAATTATGTAATTTTGGTTTGTAAATTATTTTCTCTTCTATAATTTAAAGCACTTCTATGTATGGTGCGATTCTTGACCAAATGATATTCGAGCATTATGTTCAAATGAAGTTGCCATCACTCTATAGCCATTTCCAAAGCGTAGATGTTCAATTAACAGTTGCTTGTTTTCCATGGTTTTTAAGTCTTTACAT